ATTTCAGCCCAAAGGAAATGCTCCATACGACCACAATTTTGACGGCCCATACACACACCTGAAGGTAGAAGCTTTTACAGTGTTTCACTTCACTTGTTTCTCAATTTATGATTTTTTATGATCCTAGGAATCTTGGTCAGAAAGGGCCGAGTCAGCAAAAAGAAAGCTTTCAGCTCGCAAGGCTGAGCGTGAAGGACGCGGACTCTCAATCAATGACAATGCAACATCTTTGACAAACCTTACAGGGTCTGATGGGAAGTATGCAAAGTATTCTAGGTTCGACACTGAAAGTGATCGTGTTGAGTTGTTGTCCGCTGCTGACTATGATGCCAATAGTTTATCGTCAAGTTATAATGCAACTTCTGGGTATGGAATATCATCACCCTCTAGTCGAGCACCAAAGAACATTTTTGATGACTTATAACACAAGGAATTTGACATGAACATGTAATTCCTGAGAGTTATTTAGATCTAATTTCTCTTTGCAACATAAACAAATTGCCAAGCAAAAAGGTAATTACAATGAAGATAACCATTGAATTATCAGGATATAAATACAGCAAATTCTATGATTTTGATGCAGCAACAAATTCTCATAAGTAGTGTGACAAGAAGTGTTATAGTATTCAGTAAGGAGAATTGATATTCTAATGAGCTTGGTTACAAAAGGGCAAAACTTTAATTAATATGTAGAGAGGGTTGGTACTTCTTACTGGTAATAACATTTTTAAATGTAACTTCACTTGGCTAATTAAACATTTGATAACTATTTATGAAATAACATCTGTTACCTAAGGTTTAGTGAACTTTTGCTGTATGGACAACAAAGAAATAACTGAAAATGTATATAAGCGCTACTGTCAATTTTTTTTTCAATTTAGGTGAACCTGATTAACATGACTAAAGTGAATTGTTGTTTTGGGATTTATTTGTCCCCCTGTAAGGTTTTTCCTGTTCCTTTGCATCCCTTCTGATACATAAAAGTGGTTAAAAATGTCCTTGTATACTGGACAAATAGGTAGTTATTGTCAAAGCACATGTAGACATGCAGGGGTTTCATTAACATTTTTACCACAAGGGTAAACTGGTTTTCACTGATGGGCAAAACGTTTTGAACTGAACTTCTTTAAAAGAAGAACTTTCCTCCAGATGGTCAAACCAGGTGGGCAAAATCGGCCGCACAGTGGATCAAGTTGCCCAGTGCCCAGCCCTTAATTAAACCCCTGGACATGAGTTGTAAATTTTGCATTAGTCTAATCTATGATTTGTTTAGCGGCATTTGTAGCAGTAAGCAGGAACGACAATGCATTGTTAAATTTGAGATGTAACAGTTGACTGTTTTAATGTGTTTGTATTAATTCAACTTCTTTTGACAAGGTTAGAAATGAACGTCATCTTGATAACTTTTTACCACTAACAGTAACATGATCACTTGTAGTTAATAGTTAAACTGTAAGTAACTTTGTTTTAAGTGGATTAAAAACCTTACAGAACACCAAGTGATATAATTGTAAAATGTTTGTGATTGTATTTATTTATAACTTAGCAAGCATGGAACATTTTGCTGTTCAATAAAGATATTTGAAATGCATATTTTTGACACCTTCCTGTGATGACATGTTTGTTTGGACAGTACATGCACACCAAAATGGGACTTTCAGATGTCTCTTTGTTACATGTAGGAGCTGTTTGTGATGAAACAATAAATTGCTAGAGGTTTTTTTTTATTATTTCAGTATGAATGGTTAGCCTCATACACAGACGCCCTTTGGCCTCATTATGCAATCTTTCAGGAAGATTGCATGATGAGCCCAAAGAGCATCTGCATTGAAGCTTATGTGAATAATAGGCAAACAAAATTATATTAAATAAGTATGGGATTCCAAAACTAACCTGCAATGAAGTTTTTTGGGATGGCCATAGTGGGAAATTTAAAGGAATGATGTAAAAAATTAATTGTTTTAAAAAATAATCTTCCAAGCTTCATCACTGACTATAAAAGATGTGGAAAAATTTTCATTTCAAAAAAATAACCATTTCTCTTGTAATATCCATTGCATGTAATATTTTTACAAATTTCTAAAATGTTTGTTCTTACAATATAATGATGTACACAAATCCTTTTATATTAAATTGCAAATAACTACTTTCAATAACAATTGTGAGGTCTGTTTTCTTTAAATACCTCAAATTAAAACCTGATTGCTTTGATTTTTTTTTTTAATTGAGAAGCAAAGCCCAAAACATTTTCTTAAAACTGTACATTAAAACAGGGATTAATTTTTTGCCTCTCTAACTTTTGTTTTGAACAAAACCAAAACATTTTGAAGTAAAGGTAAATTCTTCTAAGGGTAACTATTAAGAAAACCAGAACATTAGTAGGGAGATTTTGAAGATCTATCCTTTGCATTGCACACCCCAGATTGTTCCATAGTACACAGATCCAACTGGCCTGGCAATCATTGAGAAAAATGACTTGTTCACAGTGATGTTTGGAATTTCTGCCCTTAAGACCTCAATTCCCTCTGTGTTAAGAAGACCAAAGATCTGTAGTGTTTTGAGAGATTTCATCTGTGAGAAGGAACTAAACAGAAAATATGCAGTCAGTATAAAGTATTGAGTGGTTGAAGCAAGAAAGCATTGACTCATTTGTCAAGTTATCCTGCGGGTAGGTTCACGTTTAGGGAGCTCACACGTCAGTGACGAAGTGCTTCCTCCTCTTTACTCTTGCGTGACTAAAAGGTGAGCCTGTTCGCAGGCAACTGTAGGGTATACCTGTTGCACTTCGCCTCCCCTTCTATGTTCAATGTTGAGCTTTTACCAGTCTCAATCTAACAAGATTGTACTTGGTTTTGTTTTCAATTTACCTGGTATATCAAACACCCAAGACAGTGTTCGACCACATTTCAAACACCTTGAAGTTCTCCACAACTATTCTACTGCTTCTTGTATTTTCATCTCTCTTCTCAGTGTTTGGAATTGTTTACTACATCCTTTTACTTCTGTGGATATCCAAGCCACATACTCAAGTACCATAACTGGTCAAACACTGGTGAAATGATTGTTGATTATATTTCCAGGAAAGGAACCGAGTTTTACCTGAAAGCCATTGGCGGGATGTTGTAACATCGGCTAAGGCCTAGATGAACCAAGTGCTTTAGTTTGATAATTTCATCTAAAGACCTTGCAGTTAACAAAACTCCATCACTGAAAGATTGAAGAATTAATAATTAATATGAAATTTGCTGTCAATGGCTCAGTTATAGGTGTCCTGTGTCCATATTCTACAGACAAGGATGTAGCTAAGAAAACACTGAGATGGCTTGTTAACCATCCCAGACAGCTTTCTAGAATTTGCACCATCAAAGTTAACGCCTGGCCCAGTTTTGAGCTGGTTATAAGCTTGCTTTCACAGGGTTGGCCACCCAACATAAAATGAAAAAAATTCCCTGACTTCCCTGACTGTAATGCGATTTTTACTGACCATGCAGGAAGATTATTCTGCCTATGAATCAACAAAATTCAAGATGGTTTATTTCCCTGGTAACCTGAAAGTAAAATTTCCTGACTTTAATGATTTTGAACAGGAATTTGGAAAATCCCAGACTTGGTACCTTGAAAAAATTTGATTTTCTCTGACAGTGGCATCCTTGTACAGGTGTCCACAGAGAAAGGCTTGAATGTAGAGAACACCAATAAACAAAAATAAAATAGTAAACAGTTTTCAAAATGTGATAATAAAATTCTTACCTGAGGTCTAAATGTGTCAAATGAGGACATGATTTGACAAGCTGTTTGATACCTGGGGATTAACGAAAAATGGATTCATTCTAAACTGTAGTAATCGTAGCAGGTAATACATTGTCATACACACAGTGGTCAAGATTTATATTCCAAGGTAACTTCCTTTCTTTGGCAGTAAAGAAATTCCACTGCCCAGGGAATAGGATCGAAGGGTAAAGAGGAGGCAGGTAACAAGGCCCTGCTATTACTCCAGACTTCTCTCTTGCCTGTGCACATTCTTGATTTGCTCCTTTGCTAAAATCAAAAGGAGTTTCATGGTGCAAAGAAAAATGGACTTTGTAGCTTAGCCTTACTGGATGGTCACCCTAACAGATTCACTCACATAACGTACCTTTAACTAGCGTAAAACATGTAAGACTATAATTGTTACTACCTAATGGGCTAATGAGAAAAGCAAAGTTTGGAATGTCTTTGCCCAGGAACAAAACCATTTGACCTTCATAGGATTTACCAAACCAGAGTTCATTCAAGCCTGGTTCACACTTGTGAGATAAGCACAATCTTAAACACAAGCACAAGCATGTTCACACTAGCAACATATGCATGCACAGCATGAATCACATTGCAATTAGTTGAATTCTTGTGCTTATGCTTGTGCTTACAAGTACGTTTGCACTTACGCCTCTGCTTATCTCACAAGCTAAGTGTGAATCAGGCTTCAATGAAATGCCCCCTTTATACCTCTGACCGACAATACAGAAAATCTTGATCAACTTACAGTCATCTGTGAGAGTTTCTCTACATCCACTGAGGTTAAGTTGTTGAAGCTTTGGTAAATTTTTTATAATCTGCAAAAACAAATAACCATCAAATTTTGTCTACAGCAAACTATTATTGACTTTAAAATGTTTTTAGCCTGGCATGTGTATCAAAAAACTCTTTCTTTTGCAGGTGTTTGATCTCTATTTATTTCTGATGATAATTAATTGCAGGATGTCTGTAATTATTTAGTAGTAGCCACTCAGCTGTATTCTATTGGAAACCTGTAAATCTGAGCGGTTCTCTTGAGCAACATTTTCTATTCACTGATAGATAGTGATTGCATTCATGATACACAAAATAATAGGTTTTGTACTGTAATCCTTTAGAGTGTGTACTAAAACTGTTACAATAGACTAATCACGCTCCTTTTCTGTGAGCTCGGCTATGCCTTATTGACTATTTAAGCAATAGAAAACTCAGGCTTGTAGTCTAATTGTTAACTATAAATACTTTGTAGTTCAGTATGGTTAGCACGTAATCTAACTTATTTATAAATTACAAAAAATAACCTGTAAAATTGTTGCCTTAGTTAGGTTTGTCCATGATAAGTTCAACTGCTTGAGTCTGAAAGCAAATAAAAAAAAAAAAAACATCACTGCTAGCAAGTTCATCACAAGTCATTGTTTGTATCAGTTTTGCTTTATTTTCCTGTACCAGGCTTAATTCCAAGGACTTTATTCAAGTATTGTAAGCCAGAAAATGATATAAAAAGTAACTTTTCATTGATAATTGTTGCTTTACAAGAGATGTTGACATTATATTTTTATAATGAAATCACAATTGCAGCAAAACTTATTATTGAACAAAACACATTTTTTATTATAATCTATAGTGACTGTCTTACCTGTGGTTTTTTCCACCTTTCACTAAGGAACTCATTCCAGTGATTGTGACACCAGTACACATGGCGAGATTTAGAACCTCAAGGTTGCGGAGTTCACTGATAGCTCTGAAAAGTTGTAACATTTTAATTTGTGATCAGAAGGGGGCTGAATTCTTGAAGTCTGAGGTGTACTGTATGCCAGTGTTCTCATTTGGTGCCATAAAATTGTGAAATCATCCCTAATAAAGAATTTTTTTAAAAAACTGTTTCTTTCTGAAGCAGGAGCAGGGCTGTCAAAAGGGCTGTATCCTGTGACACCTGTTACAGCTAAGTATGTCTGACAGGCCCTTGATGTTGTGGGTGAAGTTGTCCATTGTAGATATAATTCACCCAAAAGCAATAAGCTTGTTACAGGTGTGAAGATCAAGGCAGCAGTTGACTCAAAACCTTATGACAGCACTGAGGAGTACATACTACCCTCCCTGGTTTAGATTTATGAGATCCCCCATATTCACCCTACTAGATTGGATGTTAGTTTGTCCCCACCCTAGCAAGAATTTTATGAGATCTCCCTGTACTCTCTCACCTCCTGGGTTAGATGTTAGTTCACCCCCAACCCCATCAAGAATTTCATGCAATCTCCCCATACTCACCCCCCTGGATTAGATGTTAGCTTACCCCACCAAGTATTTTACGAGATTTCCCAATACTCACCCCCTTGGATTGGGTGTTAGTTTACCCCCCACCCCCACAAAGTATTTTATGAGATTTCCCTCAAGGCAGAGCTGATCTCAATAGGAGTTAGAAACTCACTTAAGTACACTTGTAGAGACATTGCAGGACTCCAAACTGATGTGGGTAAGCTGTTTTGAGTGCTGAAAAAAAGATTTAAAAAAAGTGAGGAAAGACCTGTACATGTACTGAAAAACCTTTTATTTTTGGGAGGACTGGAAGAAAGGAAATTCAACTTAACTTAAATGTACTTACCAAGAGAAGGCACAAAAGCGTGTCATTTTGAAAACTGCAAGAAGTANATTTCAGCCCAAAGGAAATGCTCCATACGACCACAATTTTGACGGCCCATACACACACCTGAAGGTAGAAGCTTTTACAGTGTTTCACTTCACTTGTTTCTCAATTTATGATTTTTTATGATCCTAGGAATCTTGGTCAGAAAGGGCCGAGTCAGCAAAAAGAAAGCTTTCAGCTCGCAAGGCTGAGCGTGAAGGACGCGGACTCTCAATCAATGACAATGCAACATCTTTGACAAACCTTACAGGGTCTGATGGGAAGTATGCAAAGTATTCTAGGTTCGACACTGAAAGTGATCGTGTTGAGTTGTTGTCCGCTGCTGACTATGATGCCAATAGTTTATCGTCAAGTTATAATGCAACTTCTGGGTATGGAATATCATCACCCTCTAGTCGAGCACCAAAGAACATTTTTGATGACTTATAACACAAGGAATTTGACATGAACATGTAATTCCTGAGAGTTATTTAGATCTAATTTCTCTTTGCAACATAAACAAATTGCCAAGCAAAAAGGTAATTACAATGAAGATAACCATTGAATTATCAGGATATAAATACAGCAAATTCTATGATTTTGATGCAGCAACAAATTCTCATAAGTAGTGTGACAAGAAGTGTTATAGTATTCAGTAAGGAGAATTGATATTCTAATGAGCTTGGTTACAAAAGGGCAAAACTTTAATTAATATGTAGAGAGGGTTGGTACTTCTTACTGGTAATAACATTTTTAAATGTAACTTCACTTGGCTAATTAAACATTTGATAACTATTTATGAAATAACATCTGTTACCTAAGGTTTAGTGAACTTTTGCTGTATGGACAACAAAGAAATAACTGAAAATGTATATAAGCGCTACTGTCAATTTTTTTTTCAATTTAGGTGAACCTGATTAACATGACTAAAGTGAATTGTTGTTTTGGGATTTATTTGTCCCCCTGTAAGGTTTTTCCTGTTCCTTTGCATCCCTTCTGATACATAAAAGTGGTTAAAAATGTCCTTGTATACTGGACAAATAGGTAGTTATTGTCAAAGCACATGTAGACATGCAGGGGTTTCATTAACATTTTTACCACAAGGGTAAACTGGTTTTCACTGATGGGCAAAACGTTTTGAACTGAACTTCTTTAAAAGAAGAACTTTCCTCCAGATGGTCAAACCAGGTGGGCAAAATCGGCCGCACAGTGGATCAAGTTGCCCAGTGCCCAGCCCTTAATTAAACCCCTGGACATGAGTTGTAAATTTTGCATTAGTCTAATCTATGATTTGTTTAGCGGCATTTGTAGCAGTAAGCAGGAACGACAATGCATTGTTAAATTTGAGATGTAACAGTTGACTGTTTTAATGTGTTTGTATTAATTCAACTTCTTTTGACAAGGTTAGAAATGAACGTCATCTTGATAACTTTTTACCACTAACAGTAACATGATCACTTGTAGTTAATAGTTAAACTGTAAGTAACTTTGTTTTAAGTGGATTAAAAACCTTACAGAACACCAAGTGATATAATTGTAAAATGTTTGTGATTGTATTTATTTATAACTTAGCAAGCATGGAACATTTTGCTGTTCAATAAAGATATTTGAAATGCATATTTTTGACACCTTCCTGTGATGACATGTTTGTTTGGACAGTACATGCACACCAAAATGGGACTTTCAGATGTCTCTTTGTTACATGTAGGAGCTGTTTGTGATGAAACAATAAATTGCTAGAGGTTTTTTTTTATTATTTCAGTATGAATGGTTAGCCTCATACACAGACGCCCTTTGGCCTCATTATGCAATCTTTCAGGAAGATTGCATGATGAGCCCAAAGAGCATCTGCATTGAAGCTTATGTGAATAATAGGCAAACAAAATTATATTAAATAAGTATGGGATTCCAAAACTAACCTGCAATGAAGTTTTTTGGGATGGCCATAGTGGGAAATTTAAAGGAATGATGTAAAAAATTAATTGTTTTAAAAAATAATCTTCCAAGCTTCATCACTGACTATAAAAGATGTGGAAAAATTTTCATTTCAAAAAAATAACCATTTCTCTTGTAATATCCATTGCATGTAATATTTTTACAAATTTCTAAAATGTTTGTTCTTACAATATAATGATGTACACAAATCCTTTTATATTAAATTGCAAATAACTACTTTCAATAACAATTGTGAGGTCTGTTTTCTTTAAATACCTCAAATTAAAACCTGATTGCTTTGATTTTTTTTTTTAATTGAGAAGCAAAGCCCAAAACATTTTCTTAAAACTGTACATTAAAACAGGGATTAATTTTTTGCCTCTCTAACTTTTGTTTTGAACAAAACCAAAACATTTTGAAGTAAAGGTAAATTCTTCTAAGGGTAACTATTAAGAAAACCAGAACATTAGTAGGGAGATTTTGAAGATCTATCCTTTGCATTGCACACCCCAGATTGTTCCATAGTACACAGATCCAACTGGCCTGGCAATCATTGAGAAAAATGACTTGTTCACAGTGATGTTTGGAATTTCTGCCCTTAAGACCTCAATTCCCTCTGTGTTAAGAAGACCAAAGATCTGTAGTGTTTTGAGAGATTTCATCTGTGAGAAGGAACTAAACAGAAAATATGCAGTCAGTATAAAGTATTGAGTGGTTGAAGCAAGAAAGCATTGACTCATTTGTCAAGTTATCCTGCGGGTAGGTTCACGTTTAGGGAGCTCACACGTCAGTGACGAAGTGCTTCCTCCTCTTTACTCTTGCGTGACTAAAAGGTGAGCCTGTTCGCAGGCAACTGTAGGGTATACCTGTTGCACTTCGCCTCCCCTTCTATGTTCAATGTTGAGCTTTTACCAGTCTCAATCTAACAAGATTGTACTTGGTTTTGTTTTCAATTTACCTGGTATATCAAACACCCAAGACAGTGTTCGACCACATTTCAAACACCTTGAAGTTCTCCACAACTATTCTACTGCTTCTTGTATTTTCATCTCTCTTCTCAGTGTTTGGAATTGTTTACTACATCCTTTTACTTCTGTGGATATCCAAGCCACATACTCAAGTACCATAACTGGTCAAACACTGGTGAAATGATTGTTGATTATATTTCCAGGAAAGGAACCGAGTTTTACCTGAAAGCCATTGGCGGGATGTTGTAACATCGGCTAAGGCCTAGATGAACCAAGTGCTTTAGTTTGATAATTTCATCTAAAGACCTTGCAGTTAACAAAACTCCATCACTGAAAGATTGAAGAATTAATAATTAATATGAAATTTGCTGTCAATGGCTCAGTTATAGGTGTCCTGTGTCCATATTCTACAGACAAGGATGTAGCTAAGAAAACACTGAGATGGCTTGTTAACCATCCCAGACAGCTTTCTAGAATTTGCACCATCAAAGTTAACGCCTGGCCCAGTTTTGAGCTGGTTATAAGCTTGCTTTCACAGGGTTGGCCACCCAACATAAAATGAAAAAAATTCCCTGACTTCCCTGACTGTAATGCGATTTTTACTGACCATGCAGGAAGATTATTCTGCCTATGAATCAACAAAATTCAAGATGGTTTATTTCCCTGGTAACCTGAAAGTAAAATTTCCTGACTTTAATGATTTTGAACAGGAATTTGGAAAATCCCAGACTTGGTACCTTGAAAAAATTTGATTTTCTCTGACAGTGGCATCCTTGTACAGGTGTCCACAGAGAAAGGCTTGAATGTAGAGAACACCAATAAACAAAAATAAAATAGTAAACAGTTTTCAAAATGTGATAATAAAATTCTTACCTGAGGTCTAAATGTGTCAAATGAGGACATGATTTGACAAGCTGTTTGATACCTGGGGATTAACGAAAAATGGATTCATTCTAAACTGTAGTAATCGTAGCAGGTAATACATTGTCATACACACAGTGGTCAAGATTTATATTCCAAGGTAACTTCCTTTCTTTGGCAGTAAAGAAATTCCACTGCCCAGGGAATAGGATCGAAGGGTAAAGAGGAGGCAGGTAACAAGGCCCTGCTATTACTCCAGACTTCTCTCTTGCCTGTGCACATTCTTGATTTGCTCCTTTGCTAAAATCAAAAGGAGTTTCATGGTGCAAAGAAAAATGGACTTTGTAGCTTAGCCTTACTGGATGGTCACCCTAACAGATTCACTCACATAACGTACCTTTAACTAGCGTAAAACATGTAAGACTATAATTGTTACTACCTAATGGGCTAATGAGAAAAGCAAAGTTTGGAATGTCTTTGCCCAGGAACAAAACCATTTGACCTTCATAGGATTTACCAAACCAGAGTTCATTCAAGCCTGGTTCACACTTGTGAGATAAGCACAATCTTAAACACAAGCACAAGCATGTTCACACTAGCAACATATGCATGCACAGCATGAATCACATTGCAATTAGTTGAATTCTTGTGCTTATGCTTGTGCTTACAAGTACGTTTGCACTTACGCCTCTGCTTATCTCACAAGCTAAGTGTGAATCAGGCTTCAATGAAATGCCCCCTTTATACCTCTGACCGACAATACAGAAAATCTTGATCAACTTACAGTCATCTGTGAGAGTTTCTCTACATCCACTGAGGTTAAGTTGTTGAAGCTTTGGTAAATTTTTTATAATCTGCAAAAACAAATAACCATCAAATTTTGTCTACAGCAAACTATTATTGACTTTAAAACGTTTTTAGCCTGGCATTTGTATCAAAAAACTCTTCCTTTTGCAAGTGTTTGATCTCTATTTATTTCTGATGATAATTAATTGCAGGATGTCTGTGATTATTTAGTAGTAGCCACTCAGCTGTATTCTATTGGAAACCTGTAAATCTGAGCGGTTCTCTTGAGCATCATTTTCTATTCACTGATAGATAGTGATTGCATTCATGATACACAAAATAATAGGTGTTGTACTGTAATCCTTTAGAGTGTGTACTAAAACTGTTACAATAGACTAATCACCCTCCTTTTCTGTGAGCGATATAGTCAGCTCGGCTACGCCATATTGACTATTTAAGCAATAGAAAACTCAGTATTGTAGTCTAATTATTAATTATAAATACTTTGTAGTTCAGTATGGTTAGCATGTAATCTAACTTATTTATAAATTACAAAAAATAACCTGTAAAATTGTTGCCTTAGTTAGGTTTGTCCATGATAAGTTCAACTGCTTGAGTCTGAAAGCAAATAAAAAAAAAAAAAACATCACTGCTAGCAAGTTCATCACAAGTCATTGTTTGTATCAGTTTTGCTTTATTTTCCTGTACCAGGCTTAATTCCAAGGACTTTATTCAAGTATTGTAAGCCAGAAAATGATATAAAAAGTAACTTTTCATTGATAATTGTTGCTTTACAAGAGATGTTGACATTATATTTTTATAATGAAATCACAATTGCAGCAAAACTTATTATTGAACAAAACACATTTTTTATTATAATCTATAGTGACTGTCTTACCTGTGGTTTTTTCCACCTTTCACTAAGGAACTCATTCCAGTGATTGTGACACCAGTACACATGGCGAGATTTAGAACCTCAAGGTTGCGGAGTTCACTGATAGCTCTGAAAAGTTGTAACATTTTAATTTGTGATCAGAAGGGGGCTGAATTCTTGAAGTCTGAGGTGTACTGTATGCCAGTGTTCTCATTTGGTGCCATAAAATTGTGAAATCATCCCTAATAAAGAATTTTTTTAAAAAACTGTTTCTTTCTGAAGCAGGAGCAGGGCTGTCAAAAGGGCTGTATCCTGTGACACCTGTTACAGCTAAGTATGACTGACAGGCCCTTGATGTTGTGGGTGAAGTTGTCCATTGTAGATATAATTCACCCAAAAGCAATAAGCTTGTTACAGGTGTGAAGATCAAGGCAGCAGTTGACTCAAAACCTTATGACAGCACTGAGGAGTACATACTACCCTCCCTGGTTTAGATTTATGAGATCCCCCATATTCACCCTACTAGATTGGATGTTAGTTTGTCCCCACCCTAGCAAGAATTTTATGAGATCTCCCTGTACTCTCTCACCTCCTGGGTTAGATGTTAGTTCACCCCCAACCCCATCAAGAATTTCATGCAATCTCCCCATACTCACCCCCCTGGATTAGATGTTAGCTTACCCCACCAAGTATTTTACGAGATTTCCCAATACTCACCCCCTTGGATTGGGTGTTAGTTTACCCCCCACCCCCACAAAGTATTTTATGAGATTTCCCTCAAGGCAGAGCTGATCTCAATAGGAGTTAGAAACTCACTTAAGTACACTTGTAGAGACATTGCAGGACTCCAAACTGATGTGGGTAAGCTGTTTTGAGTGCTGAAAAAAAGATTTAAAAAAAGTGAGGAAAGACCTGTACATGTACTGAAAAACCTTTTATTTTTGGGAGGACTGGAAGAAAGGAAATTCAACTTAACTTAAATGTACTTACCAAGAGAAGGCACAAAAGCGTGTCATTTTGAAAACTGCAAGAAGTAGCTTCTAGGTACCTCAGGCTGAACATTGATTCACTAAAATATGAAAAACACAACTTGTTAGTTAAACTCTTTATTCTCAAGTGCGATAACTGAGTAATTTCTCCTTAAAATGAAGCTATGGTCCAAAAAAGGTTTACTATAGTTTTTGTATTCCCATGTTTGTTTTGTTATACTGACTAGGCCTATATTGTTCCCAAAAACATTCCCTATAAACATTACACCTGAATAACCAATTTCAGTATAAAATATGGCTTAACAATAATTATTATAGAGATAAATATACACTGTATATGTGTACACCGCCCACAATGAATATGTTCAATTGGTGTTAATTCAGTTTTAGAATACATGAGTATTTGTCCACTTGTAAAATTAAAATTTTGTGTCCCTTCTCTTCTAAGTCTAACACTTTTTTATGTTGATTATAATAGTTTTCTACTTTTCCTATTTTACCTTGGTGACTTTGGTGAAAGAGGAACTACATCAGAGAAGAACAAAGCATTTTCATCACATATGGGTGAGGCAACCTGAAAAGAGGTGTATAAAACAAATTAAGCAAGGCATTAAATATTGTAGAAAGTGTATAACATTCCAGTCTGAAAAAAACAAACAAACAAACAAATATTAGCTCATGCAAAGCTAAACTTTCATGGAAGGATTTGCTGGCAGGCAATGAAATTCAACCCAGTTTCTGAGCTCTCACATTTGACTAGAGACATTCAAAAACTGGTAACATTTTAAGTTGTCGTCCATCTCATTTAGATGGTGTGACAAATAAAATAATAAGGACTATAATGATTTCTATATTCTTACCTTTGCCTGGGCTAAGCGCAAGACTCTAGTTCCTCTTTTTAGTACTTTTCCTAATAATCCTGGTAAAAGGTTTGCCTTTGACATGTCAACATGTCGCCAAAGGCTTTCATCATATCTGAAATTAATTTAAAACTATTTATTATGATTTACCATTTTTTCTTGAAATTTCACTGCAACATAACAAATTTACATTATTTTACACTTAACCCTACAGACTCAAATTGATGATGTGTTTTTCCAGAAAATACCAGTTACCCACTCCAATGAGCCAAGGAGGGTTATTGGCTAAAATTTTTAAAGGAAAGTACAAACCAAAACTGGAATTTCCAGAGGGTTTGGTAGAGAGGGGAGAGTTTCAAACCAAAAAACTCTCTATGGGAGGGGTATGGATATTTCTGGAACAGCTCAATCTGCCCTTCAAGACTGGAGAGAGACTAAGACTAAGACTGCTTGGAAGAGTTTTGAGATTGTAACAATCTCACTATTCTACTTACGCCAGACGTTGCCAGTGTCTGCAGACTCGTGCACATTTGACCACTGTTTTCTTGTGCAAGAATTGGAAGATTGAGAGAATTATTTCATCTGATAATGACATCCAGTAATCTACAATGTAAAATATGAAAGATTAAAATCGTATGATCAGTCAAAGGAAATTAAAGGTAGAGAGAAAAAACTTCAATTTAAGGATTGTACCTGATTATATGTGCATTTGACCGTTGGACTTCTTTTAGCTTGATCAAATCAGGTCATGTGTACCAAAGGCATCTGGGTTGAGTGTTGATCAATCAATACCTTCAATCAATACCCTTAACTGACATCTCAATTGATATTCGGTTAACATCATGATCAATACTCGGTCAACACTCGATTGACACTTTATCAACAGTCGGATGCCTTTAGTACACAGCTCTTCCAAGAGACAAGCTATAGCTGAGAGATTTGGCTGAGAGATTTTCAGGAACAGGCCAAGTATGCGTGCAAATGGCCTCATAAACAATAAAGGAGAAAAGTAGTTCCTCTTTAATTTTCTTTTTTCCTCTCTTCACTCTACATCATCATTTCTTCACAAGCCTTCTAGCCTCTTCCTGGCTAGTCGGAAATAAAAGATAATTGCTACTTTATACAAAAAGTTCTTGCAAGAGTTCTTTTTACTGTAAACACCATGCCCCATAATCATGCAAATTATGACACACATTTGAATCACATGAAAAACCTTTCAGTTTCAACTGTTGACGACAAGAAGCTACGGTTTGCGCATCTTGAAAAAGTTTAGCCTAACTTTTCAAGTTTGTGGTTTATTATTATCTCTTTGGTGCTTTTCTTATTTTAGTAGACTACTATTTGCAGGATTCC